ATATAGCCAAGATCAGAAGGAAAGCAGAAAATGAAGGGAAAATTTTATAGACAGTTTCTTGAATGAAGGTCTCATATCTCAAATATATAGAGAACTGAGACAAATTTATAATAACATAAATCATTCTTTAATTGATGAATGGTCAAATAGAGCAGGCAGTTTTTCAATGAAGAAACTGAAACTATATAGTCATATAAAAATACCCTGAATCATTGTTGATTTGAGAAATGTAAATTATAACAAGTTTGAGACATAATCTCATACTTATCAGATTGGCTAAAATGACAGAAGAGGAAAATGACAAATGTTGAAGGGGATATTGTAAAATTGGGACATTAATACAAGGTTGGTGGAACTGTGAACTGATCCAACCATTTTGAAGAGCAATCTGGAATTATACCCAAAAAGTTATAAAAGTATGTATACCCTTTGACTCAGCAATACCACTATTAGGTCTGTTTCCCAAGGTGATGAGGGAAAAAGGAAAAGAACCTATATGTTCTAAAATATTTATATCAGCTCTCTTTGTGGTGGCAAAGAACTGGAAACTGGGGATGCCCATCAATTGGGGAGTGGCTAAACAAGCTGTGGTATACAACTGTGATGGAATACTACTCTTCTTTAAGAAATGATGAGGATGAGCTGGTTGATTTTAGAAAAACATGGAAAGATTTCCATGAAATAATGAAGAGTGAAATCAGCAGAACCAAGAGAACATCATATACAGTAACAGTAATACTGTTCCAAGAACAATTGTGAACAGCTAAGTTTTGAGTTATTACAAATACTCAAATTAACTACAAGGGGCCTATGAAGGAAGATGCTATGCACCTCCAGAGAACTGATAAACAGAAGTATGTATGGTAAGGTTTTACATATATAAACATGTGTGTATTATATATGTGTGTATGTGTACATATATACACACATGTATGTGAGCACACGTGTGTGTCTGTGTGTGTGTGTGTGCCAAATGGTGGTCTTCTCTAATGTAGGGTAGGGAGGGGGGTAGAAAAAAAAAAGTGTACATCAGAGAACAAAAGAAAACTCAGAAGGAAGCATAGAAAAGTAAGTAGTTTTGAAAACAATGTAGTATTTATTACATAGCTTTTTAAAAAAAGTAAACTGTAGAGATTTATGGTTTCATATTGAATCCTCCTTTTGTGTTGTGCTGTATACAAAGAAATTTTTTTTATCTTTTTGTATTTAAGTTCAAAATGAATAAAAAACTAAAAAGCAAAAGAATATGTTTGGAGCAGATTTGTGATTTCATCCATGTACTAAACTCCCAGTGAGGAAATTCTCTCCATAGGTGCCAGTCTACCACCCCTGCAATAATCTTACTGAGTTACCTAGAACAGTGAGATGTTAAATGACCTTCCCAGGTTCAACAGCTGATATGTTTCAGAAGCAGGGCTCTTCCTGTCTTCAAGACCAACTTTCTACCCACCACAACCACAATGCTTTTTGTATTTTTTTTTTCAGCCAGAGACAAGTTTTATTAAAAGATTCGCCATATTGGCCAGACTCTTAAGGGATCTGAACATTTGTGAGCCCTTGGCTAGACTCTTAAAAGAATCTGAGCCCACAATGCTTTTTCTTATGGGCAAGAAACTCTGTCCTCTATTTTTTTTCAGGAAACAGGTAATCAATATTTGTTTGAAATCTCTCGATACTGGCTTATCCTGTTGTTTTCCTCCATCTATACTATAACTGCCTCTCATGTGAGTAATGCAATATAATTCTGATACATATTTGAATGGGCCAAGCACGTAAGAAAAGTCCACCAAAAAAAGGTCTAGAAGTTCAAATGAGGGCAAGATCACTACTGTCTGGGCCTATAAAAGAAGGCTTTAGTGAAGCAAGTAGATGGGTGGATAGGCTTAAGGGATAGAGACCTGGGTCTACAGTCAGAAAGTCCTTAGTTCAAAATTTGCATTCAGATAATCACTAGCCACGTGATCTTGGGTGATCTTGGGCAAGTCATTTAACTTCTACTTGCCTCGGCTTCCTCCATTGTAAAATGGGGATAATGGTGCCTACCTGCCTCACAGGGTTGTGAGGTTCAAATGAGATATATGTAAAGAGCTCAGCACAGTGCCTGGCACATAATAGGTGCTGTACTAATGCTAGCTACCATTATCATTATTAATTAGAAAGCATCATTTGAGCTTTACAGAGGAGGTGACCTCAGAAAGATGGGTAGAATTTCAATAGGTAAAGGTGTCGTTCCTAAGAATGCTAGTAAATGTCCCAAAGGGACTGCGACAAAGACTAAAAATAAAATTAAGGCAATATCCAAATATTTGTTGTTATAAACAGGGTGTCTCCAAAGCCTTAGCTCAGTTTTGAAACTAAAGTTTGAAACTACACTAAAGCTTTTGGGACACCCTAGCTATGAAACACTTGGCTATCTGATTAAAATTTTCATCTAGATGTTTGTGTAGGTGCAGCTTTTTGCCCCCATCTTGTGTCTACTACCAAGAAGCAATTCAGTGCAGACACTGAAAACCAGCCCACATCAGTTAAGCACTACCAGAAGCATAGCCATGTATTTGTACCAACCCATGCATGGCAAGCCCTCTTCGCTTCATTCACAATTTTGTACTTTAGGCTGACATTTTGGCAGAGGGCTCTGTGATCTCATGGGGGGAGGGGGAGGAGGTACTTCCTCTTTTCAGTGCAGATCTCATGCCTGCCTTACCTTCTCATCCTGTGTGGTTTTTGTCTGTTTTTGGTCAATCTTCTCTAAAGCTGCTACTCAACACATGGGAGGCCTACATGTGGTCCTTCTGTTATTATTTTGTGGATTCCGGTACAATAGTCACACTGTTTGTTATCCCTCTCACTGTATGGCCAGTCTACCTCCTTATCTGGCTGCACTTATCACTACAGATGGTCTTTTATACTACTTCTCATATTCAAGTTACCTTCCATAACATTCAAAGTTTTTACTTCCCATTCAATTTGGGGTCTAGTTCATTGTCCATCTACAGCACCTCTGTAAGATAGATACTGTAGTAACTTAAGATTCCAGCCGTGGGTGGGTCTGCCAAAATCTACCGCTTTCTCATTTGTAAAATGAAGGGATTGGACTAGATCAGGATTTGTTATCTTAGGGTCTGTGAACTCAATTTTTAAGAATATTTTGTTCACTGCATTCCAGTAGAATTGGTTTCCTTTGTAACCATTTGGTTTTTTTTTAGGTGGCACAGCAGATAGAGGGCTGTTCATAGAGTCAGGAAGACCTGAATTCAAATCCAACCTCAGACACTTAATAGTTGTGTGTTCCTGGCAAGTCACTTGACCTATTTGCCTCAGTTTCCCCATCTATAAAACAGAGGTAATAAGTACCTACCTCCCAGAATTGTTATTAGGGTAAAAAGAGATATTTATAAAATGCTTCACAAACATTAAAACACTATTAAGTGCTAGCTCCCATCATCATAATTATTACTGTTATTATTTTATGCATTCAAATCTGAGAAGGGGTCCATAGGCTTCACAAGATGGCCAAAGGGCCAAAGGGATCCATGACACCAAAAATGTTAAGAACCCCTGGCCCAGATGATCTCTCAGGTCCCTTTTCATACTATCCATTGGGTTTGTCAATCGGTCAATCAATAAACATTTATTAGATACTTACTATTTACCAGTTACTTTGGGTGTCTTCCTACAGGTTTTAACCTGGGCAAGATACGTTTTTCATCTACTGTTTTCCCAGTGTGAACTGTTAAGCCTATCTCTTTTAAACAACTCCAGATATCAATGGCCTCCATGTGTTCCAGAGCTACACACGAGCTTCATAATTTATCAAAACACACACACACAAATGGAACAACAGAATCTGTACTTGTTAATGACTATACTGATATTCATATTCCAATTCAATTCCAAAAGCCTCTATTGAGTTCTTGCTGTGGGGAGACAATGGGGGAGGGGGCCAGGAAGGGAGAGAGACAGAAAAGACTCAATGAATATACTAGATCCTTATTTAGAGATAGACAAAATCAAGGTCAGGAAACAGGCCAAGAGAAGTAATTTTCCCAAGGTCACACAGTTTGTGGTATAGAGGAAGAATTCAAACCTAGGCCTATTAATTACATTATTTTGATCCATATCCAGAGCTTTTTTCTACTACACCCCAGAATAAGATCTATACACATAAAGCTATTAGAAAACAATTTCAGGGCAGCATATAAACAAAGAAGGAAGGAATGAGATTATAGATGTTATAGACATATATAAATATACATACATATATACACACACACAAACGTTAAGTGCCAAAGGTTTCCTAAAATTATTTCTTAACAAAGACAAACCCCAAGAGCTGCAGTGCTTAACTATTTAGGTGGATCGCTAAGTTATACTGTTTGCAATAGGAAGCAAAGAAATGAAGCCAAGCAGTGTCAATAATTCAGCACTTCACACTTCAAAAGGTCTATAATGTCATCACTATGTGCCCTCCTTTCACGGCAGATCAGACTTTTTATGCCTTACAAAATGGCATCACGAGTTGCTGCTCTTTTATCTGCTCAACAAATGCACTCTTTTAGAGATGAGCCTATCTGAATCCAACTAAGGTTGTTCTCTGATAACAGATGTACATGGTCATTAGAGATTTAGACCTAGAAGGGACTTTAAAAACTTAATGAGCCCTATCCCCTCACTTCACAGATGAGGAAATGAGACCTCTGGTCACTTGCCCAGTGTTACACAACTAATAAGCATCTAAGATGGGATTTGAACTCAGTTCTTCCTTTGTTTTTGTTCATCCTTCCCTTCCAAGAGGAACAATGATGTCAGGAGGGTAATGTCTTAACTTGCATATGAATTGTATTTAAGTAAGACTAAGTTGCACAAAGTCATTAGCCTCACTCATTCTTCCAGAGATATCAAAGTCCAGTGGCAAGACAAAAGTCAGGAGATAGCTTGGGATGCAGTGGAAGACCTTGGCTTCTTTGATGTCTGACCAAGCTTTAAGCACTGCACAGCACCTGCTTCAGCTGCCTTCATGGTCATTGGAACAAATTGTTCTCATCTACCCATTCTGCCTGGGGAGAAGTTTTCATAAGCTTGGGGAAGACACTCTCCTAACTCACCAACAGGTTTGCCATCTTTCTGTTTCCCTCAGCTTGGTTCAGGCTGTCTGCTGAGATGGTTTTACCAGGATACAGCAGCTGTGCATGCTTCTTAGAGCCACAGGTGAGAGCTGAGTGCCAGGAAAACACCAAAGGTGGATGAGCAGCCTTGAAAAGGGCTCCACAAGTCCTCACAGCAGAGGAGCTAGTCCTCCCTGAACACACCCCTCAGGTCTTCCTAATTTCAAATTCATTGGCTAGATGTTAGTAAGTCTATATCCAAAGTCTGTCCACTTGGCAGGATCTTCCCGAGCTTACATTCTGCTGGCATAACCTCCGGCAATGAAACTTCAGGCCACGATGAAGTCTTAGAGCAGAACTCAGTAGAGTATATAATCAATAACCACTGATAAACGAATACCCATTTTCACTTCCCAAATACTTAAAACAAACTTCTGAATTCTGAATTATTTAGGACCCCTCCTTTCTCACCTATCCCACTGGAAATTGCTGAGGATTCACCTAATCAGTTTCTTCTGCGGGTCATTCAACCCTCAACATCTGAGTTAGAATCTCAAGGGTAAGAGCTGATGCTGGCAAACATTCTAAATCCTATCAAGCTGTGTTATGCATCTGTAAAGAGAACCAGTCTTAGAATTTAGAACAACAGCATGCCATTGTGGAAATGGGACAGGGCTAAGAAACAGAAGTCAGGATGTTGGTTCCAATCCCAGTTTTACCACTTTCTGCTTGTGTGACCTTGGGTAAATCCTTTCATCTAAGTCTCAGTTTTCTTTTTTTTTTTTTTAGTGAGGCAATCGAGGTTAAGTGACTTGCCCAAGGTCACACAGCTAGTATGGGTAAGTCTCAGTTTTCTTACCTACAAACACTGAGGCCCTTTACAGTTCTATTATCTATGATTTTATGAATTCTGGTTAGAATGGCCTAGTTTAAGACTATGACTTCCTAGGATTATAGATAAATCCCTTACGTAAAAGCAGATGATCTCTTAAATTCCATCTCAATCCTATGATTCTATAATTATAATGATTTCAGGGATGTGGAAGGGAGGGATTTCTGGCTAGAAAGTTAAAAGAGGATCTTCTTTCCTGGAATGTTTCAAAACTTGAATAAGTGTGGAAATGAACCAAATAGAAAACTATAAAGATATTTGGTAACAAAACCGTGGGCAAGTCTTTTCAAGTCACTTTGCAAATCTTAAAGTGCTATTTAATGCTAGCTAGTATTATGCTTATTATTATTATTACATTGCATTCAACACAGAAGCAATTCCTATCATATTGAAGGATGGGATTCAAATGGATAAATTCTCAAGTTCTCCCTTAACCATTTCAAATCTCTTTCTCCATCATACCTCCAACTCTGTCATACGCTCCCTATACCAGTGATTCCAAATATCCCCTAATGCCACTGTACAAAGAGTATGATAAATTTTTTAAAAAAGGAATAATTTGCAGTCCCAAATAGAGTGCTCAAGAAATTGAATTTGATATCTATTTATGGAAAGAATATGGAAAAATATTATGCATTTTTTCCAAATGCACATGGAACATTTATAAAAACTGATAATGCTGTAAGATACATACTAGTGACAAAAGGCAGAAAAGTTAAATATCATATTATCAGATAATAGGGATCGTTCTATGATTTCATTGGTGAGGAAACTCCTCTTTGCCACTGCAGGCTGGCACCTTTTCTACATTTTAGAGGGCTAGAATAAGTGACTTCTCAGGGTCACACAGTCTGTATATGTCAGAGACAGGACCTGAACCTAGGTCTTCCTGGTTATGCTAATTCTCTATCCGCTATATACCAAAGCCTTTCATCTCAGTTAAAAAAGCAATAAAAATTTATCAATAAGAGAAACAGAGCCAAAAGATGCAGGCTTAGGTACAAACTAAAATTATGTTAAATAAAGGTTTACTTACAGATCAAATTATAGAAAAAATCATAAAGATATTGATAAAATATATAACATTTATAGAATATAGCCATAGGAGTACTAAGAGGCTATTTTAAATCCTTTAACAATTAATATTCATATGCTATATGGACCAGGATGTATATTCACAAGTGAATTTTTTCCTTCACAGAATTTTTTAAAAATATACCACAATTTTTTTTTAATAGAGAAAGGTGACATTTTACCTGATTCTTTTGAGAATATAAATATGGTCCTGATTCCCAGCATAATAAAACTACAGCAAACAAAGAAAACTAAAGACCACTATCATTAATATGTGTAAAAATATGAAAATATTGGAAAATAAAGTACAACAGTATATATTATAATGATTAAATAGAATTTACATTAGAAGTGCAAGAATATTTTATTAGAAAATTTTATAATGACATCAGTACTAAACATGAAAACAATGTGATCTTATAAAGAGAAAAAGCCTAAGATATTTCATCCATTAAAAGAATTTTTCATTCATGAGATTTTTAAAGCATTTGACTCCAAAAGCTAGCAGTATATGTGTTGACAAATATTAGAAGTTCTCCAACTATGAACAGGGTGAAAGCAAAGATACCTACTTTCACCATCATTAACTCAGTTTTAGAAATGTTAGACATAATTTTTTAAAAATTAAGCAAACAAGTATAGACAAGGAAGGCTGAAATATCTATTATTTTGGAGCTACAGAGGCAGCTAGGTGGTACAATGAATACAGTGATGGTTTGGGAGTTACAAAAACCTAAGTTCAAATCCTGCCTCAGACACTAATTTAAGGGAGTGACAATGGACAAGTCATTTATTTTCCTTACCCTGTTTCTTCATCTGTAAAATAGAAATAATAATAGCATCTACCTTGCAGAGCTATTTTAAGATTCAAACGAATATATTGTATATATGCAATATATAATAGATTTATGTGATATATTCATAATACATTAACATACATAGTCATGTATATATGCTCTTTAAGCTCTTTGCAAAACACTTTACATCTATTCTCATCTGAAAATCACAATTCTGCAAGGTAAATGCTGTTACTGTCCATATTTTAGATATTACTTGATATTAAAATATATATTTATATATAATGCCACATACATGAAATAAGGTTACATAAATAACCTTAAAGAGTTACATAAATGTTAAGTATTTTTCTTCTTATATACAGATGATGTTATGTTGAAAGCCAGAGAGGGAAAAAAAGAACACCAAACAGAGAAAAAAAGAGAAGAAAACCAAAGGAGGAAAGGAAGGAAAACAAAAATGAAGAAAACAAAAAGAGGAAAAGGAAAAGGGGAGGGGGGGAAATAAAGGGAAGGAGGAAAGAGGGGAAAATCTCATCCTTAACCCACTTACTTTTCTGGCCCCTCATCCCTGTGACGAGCCCATTTTCTGCACACCTCCCATCCCTAGGATGAGTGCATCCTTTTCATCCCTCCCTACCCCCATCCTGATGAGCTCATCTTTTCTAGCCCCAATTCCTCTGATGTGCCACCCCTCCCCCATACCTCTGATGAGCTCACTCACTTCTGGCACAGCATCCCTGTCATTGGCCCATCCTTTTCTGACCCTGCATCCCTGTGATGAGCCCATCTTTTTCTTCCCCCACCCCTGTCCCTCTGATGAGCTCATCCTCTGCTAGTCCCCCATCCATCTGATGAAATTCTAGCCCCATCCCAGTCACTTCTGTTCCCCCATCCCAGTTCTGAGCCTCTGTTCCTGCTCGTCCCTATCTCTGTGGTGAGCGCATCCTTTTCTACACCCCACCCCCTCAATGAGCTCATCCCTTCTCCCCTCCACCCACCCCAGGTTTGGGTCCGTCCTCTTCCGCTCCCCTCCCCCACCCTGGGATGAGCAGCTCTCTGCTCAGGGTACCCCGCACGCCCCTCTCCTCTCCGGGGTCCCTTTCTCGGGGAAGGGAGACCGCACAGCCCGCGTCCATCCCGGCCCGGGCTCATCAACGTGCCGAGGGCGGAGGCGCCACAGCACGTGGGGCCAGCCAGGGCCCAGGAGGCGGGAGCAACTGCGCTCCCTCGGGCAGCCGCCCAAGCTCTTCTTCCGGCGGCCCTGCGTGCCGGCTTGAGAGCGTGGGAGCGTGCGCGTGCGTGCGTGCGCTCCACCGCCCTTCGTGCGTGAGGGCGCACTACGGGGCGTGCGCGCGCAGCCGCCCAAGGAGCCGGTGCCGGGGCTGCGGCCCCAGAGCAGCTGTAGTCCCTGGAGCCCGGGGTTGGGGGGGAGGAGAGGACGCCTCGCGCAGGGCCGGAGCCCGCAAACGGGGTTTGAACCGAATAGTGCGAATCCCGGATTCCTCCTTTTCCTTGACCGATGGAGTCACCAGTAGTTTGGACTTGGAAAGAAAAACCTCCTTTTTATTTATTTTCTCATATGTTCTGTTCATAACCTCCCTGTTACGGGCGTGACAGCAAACTTCCCCCATCACCCCTGCGGCCATCCCAAAATGAGCTTTTGTTTCAGGGAGAATCTCAGCGTCGTTAAGGTACTGATTTCGCAAATGAAGTCTGACCCCCTGGCTAGGAAGAGATAGACATTTGTATTCCATATGCATAGATATGCAAATTTGTTAGATTATATATTTATGTTATTATATATGTATATATCTACCAAATATTCATATATTGAGGTATAGTGTATGTATATATACATGCTTGCATGCACACATACACATACATGCATATGTATGTATATGTGCATATACATATATATATGTGGGTGGGTGGGTGTGTAGAGTTGTGTCCAACTCTTCTTGACCCCATGGATCATCCTATCCATGGTGTTTTCTTGGCAGATACTGGAGTGGTTTGCCATTTCCTTCTCCAGTGGAAGAAGGGAAACAGGCTAAGTGACTTGGCAAGGGTCACGCAATAAGTGTCTAAGGGCAAATTTGAACTCGGGTCTTCCTGAACTCCTGGCCAAGCACACCATGATTGTGTATGCATGTGTATGTATGCATGCATGCATGCGTGTGTGTATACATACATATACATGCATACCATATATTTACATTTATATATTTAAATGTATAGGAGACATCTAGGTTATCTACATATCTGTGCATATCTGTGTGTACTTATATATGCATATAAAAGGGAATGGGGTTTTTAGAAGCTGAAAGCCTTTTGACCCTGCAAGCAAAGACCCATCTTATATCGAAATATAATAGATATGTTATACAAACATGTTGTATTATATATACAAGTAAATATATATACTATTAAATATATCCTATTAAAGCTTAAAACTGCACTAAAGCTTTTGGGGTATGCTGTATATAATATCTTTTCCCTTCAATGTATATGTATATATAGATAATCTGCATATAGAATATAAATATTTATATCTATGTATTTATATAGGTAGACTATATAGAGGTATATTTTTATGTATATCTAGTTCCATATATACACATATGGATATCTGTATGTAGAATATGTCTACATAGATCTAGACATCCATATCTAAATAAATAGTTATATTTTAAAATATCTTTAAATATATCTTTATATACCTAGATATCCCTCCATATATCTAGATATATAAATAAATATATTTTGATATATAATGTGAATATATAATAGATATATAGTATATATTATCTAAATATGTAATGAATGTATAGCATAGATATAAATGTTATATCTAATAGCTAAATCTCTAAAATATACACATAATCTATTATAATTAACATAATTATAATATAATATAAGTGTATAATAGATACATGTTTTATGTCTAGATGTAGATTATCTAAATTTAGATATATTTAGATATGTTCTATATATTAATATTTAGATATAGCTATCTACATACATATACATACACATGAAATATATTGATGGTAAAGGTCAATGAGTAATGACTTCACATCATAGTCTGCATGCTGTTTATCCACTTGGTTTTCCCGTGTGGATGATTAGGCCAAATTCTTTTCAGTGATTATGAATCTTATTTAAGAAAAAATAATGAGCCTTGGATTTTTTTGCAATCAGCCCAATATTACTAGACAAGAAGAGTGTCTGGATTATCTCACTGTCCATTGGGAGTCCATCTTTGATTTGGGGTGTTCTAGACATCTCTATGATCGTCTTCCCCTTACAGGTATCCTGCTTTAGGGCTCATTTGATATTAAAAATCAAGAGAGTAATCAAACAAGGTATCTCTGATAATATTTTGATGAATCCTGTATGATTTTAACGTAGGTGTGGGAGCCACTTTGTTGGAGCAAATTTAAGGTTGCATTTTGTACTACTACTTTTTGATATTTGACATTTATCAAGCTCATAATGGGCTCTTGTATTTTCTGCCCATTTCAGGCAATTGTGGGACTCTGAAGATGTTTAATATAAAATAGTTGTGAAAGCCTACCCCTTCTCTCCTCCTGCCTTCATCAAGGCTACATTTCATGTGTGTGGAGCATTCTCAGAAACGTTTTGTAAAGATGAGAAAGCAGGAATGTAGTTCAGTGGACGTTGATTTTTTTTTTTCTTAGCTGCTTTTGGAGGTAATAATAAGGTATATGATTTTTTTTTCTTAAGCATTTGGTATCTCTCCCTATTTGAAAGATCTCAAGAATCAGTCGCTCAAAATTATGTCACCTTTAACATGTATACTTGGTCTAGTCCAACCCGTCTTCTTATCTTTTTTTTTTTTTGGTCGAATTCTACTTCTTTATACAGCCTGTATTAGAGTCCCAATGTGGTATCTTGATTCTCAGCAAAAGCCGAAACAGTTTGTTAGAAACCTTTTTGAAGATCTTTTCCATTTTTGTGACTTTGTTGCCCTTCCAATTCTACAGTGCTCTTAGGTTAATCTGGCTTAATTAGTTCTCTCAAAAACCTTTCTTTAGGGGCAGCTAGGTGTTGCGGTGGATAGAGCACCGGCCCTGAAGTCAGGAGGACCTGAGTTCAAATCCAGCAGCACTGGCCCTGAAGTCAAGAGGACCTGAGTTCAAATCCAGCCTCAGACCAAACACTTGGCACTCACTAGCTGTGTGACCCCGGGCAAGTCACTTAACCCCAATTGCCTGAAAAAAGAAACCTTTTCTTTAAAGTTCTGTTTTCCTCCACTGCTTTTTTCCCCTCTAAACTTTTTTTCCTCTAAAACTGTTTTATGAAGCTATAACCTTATAGAATCATGGACCTAGAGCTGGGAAAGATCTCTCCAGAGGCTCCTTGAAGTCCAGCTCCCTCATTTTATAGATAATGAAACATGCGGCCCTCACAGGTTAAATGACTTGTCCGGGTCACACAGATAGTAAGTCTCAAAGGTGGGATTTGAATCCAGGCCTTTTAATTCCTAAGCTATGGCTCTTCCCTTGTACCATGATGTCTCAAGTCTATGAGACAGCTTAATATTCTGAACTGGTATTGCCCTTGACGGCCGTGTCTCTTTGTTTGACAAATTTAAACAGTTGGTTTAAATGTTCGTATTGGAGTTCCCTCAATTGTACGTCATATTTTTATTATTTTTTCTAGGTTGGAATTGATTTTTATTTTTGCTCTAACAAATTAGTAGTCTGACTATGTACGGATTAAAAAATTACTCTCAGAACTCAAAATGGAAGTGATTGTTGATAAATCAAAATAAAATAATAAAAAAAAATTTTAAAAAATAAGAAAAAAATTACTCTCATGTCAGTAACTCACTGTTTTCTGTCCATTAGATTATAATCAGTTTCATTTTTTGTGACATCATATGATCCCACTGGGGGAGTAGAATGATGATGGCTCTGGAATCAGAGGGCCTCAGTTCCATATGGGTGTGGGAGTATACAGACAGACAGACAGACACACACACACACACACAAAATGATATGTGTGTGTGTGTGGTTTTTTTATAAATGACTTTGTGAACTTGAAGTCAAGAACATCTGGCTTCTAATCCCATCTCTTGTCACTTGTTACCTGTGTTATGTTGGGCAGCCTCTCTGGGCCTTGGTCTCTTCATCTGGAAAATGAGAGTTGTACTAATCAGTGGTGTCAAACTCAAATAGAAACTGGGGTCTGTAAACCAGCACGTCAACCCTGAGAGCCACATAGTGACTTAGAAAACCACATATTAACATCATGTTCCGTTGTATTTTTATTTATTTTGTTAAATATTTCCTAATTACACCTTAATCTGGGTCCAGCATGTGGCCTGTGGACCAGGTGTTTGACACTTCTATACTACATGACTTCTGAGGTCTCTTCCAACTCTAAAGCAGTTTCCTCTTTTCGAAAAAAGTATTCATGATCTATACAGCATAAGATTTATAGCCTACAAGCTTTAGCCTTTTGCATTTCTTATTACTGAACTATGTTTCCCAACATATTTTTCACCATCCTATATCACCCTGCCTTTGCATTGAAGTCACAAGGTATAAAAGCATGTGTTGGTTTGATTTGGAGCATTTCATTTGTATGCCTCCCCATTCATAACTAATGGGCCGTCCTTCTATTTCTCATCTCTACAAAACATTTCTGAGAATATTCCACACACATTAAATGTTCTTTTGATGAAGGCAGAAGGAGAGAAGGGGTAGGCTTTTACAAATATTTTACAGCAGACATCTTTATTTGTAAACTTAAGGATGGAAGGAAATCAAAGTGTTAGGAACATAACACTCGGGAAGTTGTCGGAGCTATGTTGACAGTTTTGTAGGGGCTGTTTCCCCAGTTGGCCAAGGAAATGGAGATCAGCTTAACTTGGGAAAGAGTCAGTGACTGAATAATCCAGATTTCCAGGGTCTTGATTATAATAGAAATCTTAAAGTAATTGACAACAGAGTTGAAAAGTTCTAAGTTGTTATTTGAAATAAGTTTTTATTGCTTCATTTTTTTCCATTACCATAATTCCTCTCAGTATTTCTTCTCTTCCCCCTCCAAAAGAGCCTCCCATACAACAAATAGTATTTTGAAAGACAAAAAAAGGAGAGAAAAAAAATCACAATTTATTTTTTAATAATCTGCTCTGCTACATAATCTGCTCTACTACGTAATTCTTTTTCATTTATTATTCCTTGTACTTAAAAATTTTACAACTTCTTATAAATTATAAATATTTTAAAATCTCATTTTCATCTCATTTCAATCAATTGCTTCTACGTATCTGAATAAAAACTTGGGAAGATTGTAAAACAGTATGATGGAAAATGGGGTTAGCTGAAGATTTTACAACATCATACATATAAAGCCAGAGGAGACCCTATAGACAGGTGAGAAAACTGTAGCCTAGAGAAATGACTTGACCAAGGTCATATAAGCAGTAAATGGCAGAGATATTTGAATCCAGGTTCTCTGAGTCCAAAGCTCAAGGTACATCATCCTAAATTCTTACTGAATCAATGAGAAAACAATTGTAAGTGACATTTATATAGGACTTTAAAATTCTCAAAGCATTTTCCATACATATCTTCCTTTGAGCCACACATTTTTTCTGTTTTTTTGTGTTTTTGCTAGGCCATGGGGTTAAGTGACTTGCCTAGGGTCGCACAGGTAGTAAGTGTTATGTGTCTGAGGCTGGACTTGAGCTCAGGTTCTCCTGAATTCAGGGCCAATGCTCTATCCACCGTGCCACCTAGCTGCCCCTTGAGCCACATTTTATATTTGTACAGATGTAGAAACTGAGTTTTAAAGAGGTTAAATGACTTTTCCTTGTTTATACAGCTGCTGTCAGAGGTAGGATTTGAACTCAGATGTTTGTGGCTCCATGTCAGCATATGATCAAAAACTCCATCATGAAAAGGTAGGACATAATAAAATACCATACTTGTTCCAATTGCGGTAAGCTAAGAGACTTTGCTGTTCTGTAAAGAATCTTGTAAACCCTAAAGCACTACATAAATGTTTACTGGGGGAAGGGGAGGGGGGGAATAAGCATTTACAGATTGTCAGCATTTCCTGTATCCAAGTGCCGGGGATGCAAATGGAAAATTGAGACAATCCTTGTTCTCAGGTAGTTTACATTCTGATAGGGGAGCCCAGACTTAGGGAAGGTTTCAGCTGCAGGTCAGATGGAAAGATCCCATGGTCCCTTAGGGTTCAGTGGCAAAGCAGGTGGTCTTGCCTCTTCTTTAGTGTCATTTCCACTGGTAAAATCATGCCATAACTTTACACAGCAACAAAACTCAGTTTTAAAAAAATGGACGATTTTGGTATTACCTTTTGGGCATATAGTCATCCTTTCCTTCAAAAACAATAGAAAACTAGTTAAGTGTAAGTATACTAAAAATGTATGGTTCCATGCCCCATTAGTCACAATTGCTCCTTTAATTAGTTTTACTTGGCTATTTGTAGGAATTTTACATTAACTGGAAGTATATTGGGGGCTTGTATCATGCCAAAACAAAATGTAAGTATTTTGGATAAATAGACAGCCAGAGAAGAGAACATTCTCACTACAAAAGTCCTTAGTATTGTCAAATGATTTAACAACAGAAGATTTTTTGGTGGAAATAACTATTATCTGCTTTGCCCAAGGCCTTTCATCTCCTCAAAGTGTTGTCTCCTCCTGGAAGGTGAGCTCCTTGAGATCAAGGACTGTCTTGCTTTTCTATTTGTATCTCAGTGCTTTGCGCATAGTAAACACTTCACAAACACACACACACACACACACACTCATTTGGGGCTGTATTTCCAAGTTCTTCATCCCCAAATATCAGAGCACTGAAATCATAAAATGTCAGAGCTGGAAGAAAACTTAGAGGTCATTCCATGTAACCCTTAATTTTGTAGATGAGACCAGAGATGTGAAGGAAGTGCTCAAGGCCACACAGCTAATTACTGGCAGAACTGAGGCAATAAATGAGGCCCCAGCGCACAATACTGCCTCCCCAGTCATCATCAGTAAATTATTATTTCAGGAAAAATAAAATTGTGATAATGTCATATCATAATCAATCTCTAATTGACTAACTTTGGAACTAAATAAAGAACAGGCATAGAGTGTACTCCAGGCTTTTGGATCACTCTCCTAACTCACTAGAAGAACCAGCTAAAGAATGGGGGCATCTGGGGGCAGCTAGGTGGCACAGTGGATAGAGTACCGGCCCTGAAGTCAGGAGGACCTGAGTTCAAATCCGGCCTCAGACCAAATACTTGACACTTACTAGCTGTGTGACCCTGGGCACGTCAATTAACCTCAATTGCCTAAAACTAAAAAAAAAAAAAAAATGGGGGCATCTAATTACTGCTCCCCTCAAGATACACGGGGTCACCCTGAGATGTTGGAGGTGGTTTCAAATACTATTGCTCCTGAGTACCTATCCATTGAGTTCCCCCCAATATTTAACCATTTAGTCTCCCTAATGTCAATTAGCTTTTGCAAAGGGATATTTACTGAGAAAGTACAACAGAATCTGAAGTACAGTAATATAGGGCCAAAAAAAAGGAGCCCTCTACCCTCTGCAAACACTCACCTCCTGGGAAGAGCATCCTAAAATAGAGAGCCCCTCCCAGATCCTCTCTTTATTCATTCATTCATTCATTCATTCATTTATTCATTTATTTATTTTTTTTATTTAAGGAGGGGACTCAATGTAGACACCCCATTATTTCCCACCTGGTTGTTCACGTGGACTTTACTGTTGTCTCCAGAAACTCATCTTCCTGCTAGGTCAAATCAACTGAGACTCTTACCTTCTCTGCACTTCCTAACTCTGGGGCCTTTCTCTCCCTCTGATTGAAGAGGGTAGAGGGTGGACATCAGAGGGCTCCTCCCATATCCTCTCTATAACAGCAATCAGCCCAAGGCAGACACCTCATCATTTCCCACCAGGCTGCCAGACTTCGTCATGTCCCGAAACAGGGTACTCTCCATTCCTTCTTCTCTCCCCCTTTCAGCTTCTCTTTCTCTGTTGTCTTGCACCGTTAGATTGTGAGCTCCTTCAGGGCAAGGACTGTCTTTTGCCTGTCTTTGTATCCCTGTGGCTGGGCACGGTGCACAGAGTAGGGCTTAATAAGTGTTTATTGACTATGCAGTTGGTTCAGACTTAAAATGATGGGTTCACAACATTCCATGCCAAACAGCTGACCCACATGCATAAGCTTCCTCATAGACCCACACTTGAAGCACAAAAGTACTGAAACTAAGGTGTTAGGAGTCCTGGCACTGGGAGTTCTTTTCTTTCCACAGCACAGTGCCCCATCAAGTTCATGTTTGGGCCTGGCATACCCAAAGGATGAGTCATCCTTCTGTTTGGCTGTGAATTCTCAGTCAAGCAGACTACTTCCCAGGGCTGAGTCTTCAACAGACTTGCCTGCTGGGCTCCTGGCAGACCCTTGTTACCATCTCAAGTTGCTGGATTTCTAGTGGTAGTTCTGACGTTTTAACGTTCACAAAGTTGCTAACCTGGTCTACTCTGCTCCTGGATATACATTTACCTAAGACTGTCTTTTGCCTCTTTTTGTATCCCCAGCACTTAGTACAGTACATAGTGGATGCTTAATAAATATCTGTTGAATTTATTGAACCAGGACAGAATAAACAAACAGGTGCCATGTATTCATAGACACATTGTTGTTGCTATTTGTCCTTCATTCTCGAAGAGGACCATGACATCAGGAAGGTGATGCCATGACTATAGCAGCTGAGTTGAGAAGGGGCTTCTCTCTCTGTGCCTTGAGTGGGGGGTGGTCCCCTCCACCCTCTACTCTCCCGCCCCCAGCCACAGCAGCACACAACAAGGAGACCTCTTCACTAAGGGCAGAGAAGGGAATGAGAGGTTGTCTGCCTGCTCCATGTTTATGCACACTTAGTTCTGGCTCAGCAGCCAATTAAAAGGCTTTTTATCACCATGAAGTAAGCTGACAGGAAGTTGTCAGAGGATACCAGTATGTACTCTGAAATGGAAGAGAGGGTCCTTCCATTACACATACCCAGAAGCAGGCTCCCCAGGACTCCATGTGGGTTGGAATCAAGCAGGTTAAAGTGTCCATGCTGTCAGGGTTAGACCCTCACTAAAGCTAACAACCCAATGTCCTTATCTATTGGACTTGTGTAGACATCTTGGTGACTCTTCCGTTCCCCACCATATATATGTATTTCTTTTCTTTTCATATCATGTCTCCCTCATCCCTTTTCTAGTGCATTTCTTTTTTTCCTTATCCCTTGTTTTTCCCCTTTGCCCCATACCTATACTTTGGGTCTCCCAATGCCCTTTAGGAGTAAATCGAAAGGGCTTGGGAAGTGTTTAGTGCTATAATAATAACTGAAAGTTGTATAGTGGTTTAAGGTTTGCAAAATAGTTTATATCCCTTGTCTGTCCCATTTGAACCTCACAACAACCCAGTGGAGTAGGAACTATTGCCTTTATGATTCCCATTTTACAGTTGAGGAAACTGAGGCTGAAAGGGTTAATGATGTGCCAATGGTCATAAAGTTTAATATATGACAGAGGCGGGATTTGAAACCAGGTTTCCAAACTCAGGGCTCAACCTTCATCCACTGTGCCATGCTGTCCCTATACAAAAAAATATGAATGTAAGGATGGAGTCAGGAGGATGTGTTAATTGACGTGGTTTTGGTCATTTTTGGTCATTGTCACATACAGGACAGGCAGGGCACCTGAGCAGCAGAAGACAGTAGGTACCAGGTGCCTGGGAAGTCAAACCACCTCCACCACCACGTCTCCCCTCGGATCCTGGCAACATTTAATAATGACATTAAATAAGAGAAGAGGCATTAATAGCTGCTTTACTGCATCCTAAGGACCATGGCTGTCTCCATCTCAGTTGCAGCTGACACCTTCTCTCTGTCTTCCTATTTCCTCTGTTAGGAGGCTCTATGAGGCTCCCTACAGGAGCCCCTAGGGACTACCTTAACTTTTCTAATTGAATCCCCAATACTTAGCACTGGCTTGTGCACATGGTGGATTGTTGTCCTTTGTTCTAGAAGAGGACCAAAATGACATCGCTCTGCTAGAGTCAAGTTTCAGTGTGTCCGACTGTCGCTGATCAAACCAACATGAGCTCAGAATGCTCTACCACAAGTCAGGCACAAACAGTCCGTGTGAACATTTGGGGTGGGTTCTTTAAATCTGCGCATCTCGCATTTCTTTTGAGTTGCTTCAGTTCTCCTTTCTCATAGAGACAGCACCTTCTCTGATAAGGGCACGCTGTGCTGGGCAGTCCTGTGCCAGTGTCTCCGTGTCACACAATCAATTCCAGAGTTAAGAGAGACCTTGAGCGTGTCCTTGTATCACTTCTTGAGACCGCTTGCCCTCTGTGAGTTCTCCATAAAATAGTCTTTTTGACGAGTGTATGTTTTTCACCTGCTAAGTGCTTAATAAATGCTTCAATCTTTCATTCACTGTTCCTTCTTTGTATCGAATAAAATCACAATAACTTTTCTTCAGGACAAAGGAATAAGAAATTTACCCTCAAATGGCCTGGGAGAGAGATTAATCTGTTCCCTCTGTGCTTTATAGCTAAAGCTGCTCTGCCTTGCATTGTTGGGGGTCTTAACTTTCTTTTCAGTCAGTTTCTCAGCTAAAACTTTTTCATATAGGATTTTTTTTTTCTGGTGGCACAATATATAGACTTCTGGGCCTCAAGTCAGGAAGACCTAAGTGCAAATTCAGCCTCAGATAACTTACTTGGTGTGTGTGACCCAGGACAAGTCACTTCACCTTTATCTGACTTTTCTCAACTGTGAAATGGGAATAATGGTATCTACTTCACAGGGTTGTTGTGAGGATCAAATGAGATAATATTGGAAAAGCACTTCGCACAGGAGCTGGCACATAG